TTAAGTTTCTTATGAATTTTCACTATCATAAATAAAGTTGTGATAAATATCTTGAGGCCACTTTGTCCATATTTATAGTAATTTCCTCGGAAATGTTATTAATGGTGGAAATGGTTGAAAGCATTTTAGACAACATTCTGAATGACAGCATTGACTTTGGAGTTTGGACAGTTTGGGGTTAATATACTACTTGTAAGATGGTGAAAAAATTACTTTATCTCTTTATAACTCGTTTTGTCCCTTTTAAAATGAAGATGGTATTTACTTCCTTGCTCCGTTGTAAGGATTAAATGAAACAATGTTAAAATTAATACTTATTTCATCATTTAACCGCTAGGTGGAGCTAAAAGCTCGTAATTCTAAAACAGTGAGTTTCACATGATTCCCAAGCAGCAGCAGCAGTGGGGAATGTTTTGAGACCTGTAGTTTCTCCACCTGATCAGCCTCTCTGGGTGTGGGACTCAGCAATGTTTCAACTAGTCTTCTCAATGAGTCTGTTTACGCTAAAGTTTGCGACTCGCTGGCCTAGTGCATTTTGCATTTTTCTTTAACTTGTCTAACGGGCAGAGAGCAGAACCAAAGACACTAACATAATAACTGCAATTTACAAAGGATTATGAGTGTTATAACTGTAGTAATATCCATACATTATAACATGAATCCTTATATTTATTTTTAAAACGAGATCATTGCTTTTACTCCATTTTTTAAAATTTATTTATTTATGCATACATAACTGGGATACAGGCCAGAGAAGCTGGGGTGGTGAGAGGATTCACCAGAGTGGGGAGCAAACCAGGCAGATCGACGAAGTGCACTGCTGAGGGGAGCAGCAGATGAGACAGGGAAGGTCTGCTGCACCATGTGGATCACCACCTCCCGCTCTGGGGATGGAACTCACTGAAGCGGCTACTTCTCCCTTGCAGTGCTGTACTTTAACCCATTGCACCACCAGAGAGGCCCTACTCCCATTTTTTAAAGGCAGAGACAACCTCAGATTGAATGATTTTGTCCAATGTCACTTAGTCATTAGTTAGTATTCCAACTAAGGTCATGGACTGACCTGTAACACAATATTGCCACTCCAATGCCAATACCTGGAAAACCAATTAAAGGGTAATTTTCCTATCCCACTATTCTTATACCAGGGAGTCCAAGAATGTCTGGTTACAACTCTGTATTTCTTTGTGCATTTGTGATTGCAGAAGTATAATTATAGTTCATTTTGAATATAAGTTATATAAAACCATTAAAATGGCAATGCTCTTAAAGTGAGAACTGAAGGTTTGGCTTGGGTCTACTGGTTTCTAAAGGCCTGGCACAAAGAAGAATTAATTATTTGCATTACTAATTAACATAATTTTTCTCTGGCTGATGCTGGATGTGCTCACTGAGACAATGACTAACAAAACTATGCAAAAGGCAAACATCCTCCCAAAAGACCCCCTTATTCTTGTCTTTTTAAATATCGTTCATTTAATTCAAATCAAAAAGAGCAAAGAGATACAAGCAGAATTGACTTATGATGGGTCAATTAATTGGTCACATTAACCTCAAAATGCCAAATTCATATTATAGATATAAATGATAACCAAAGAGCCTTGACTGATAATTGTTAAGGTTATATCTGAGTGATTCAGAGTTTTCATACCATTTGCTAGGAGAGTGAATCAAATTGCTGACTTGGCTTTCCCACTTACCAGATGAGAGCAGTACCTAAAGAGCTATTATGAGAATTAAATGAAACAACATAGGTGAATCACCTGGTATGTGAAGAATGCACAAGATCATCATCATTATCATTAAATCAGATACCTCATAAATGACTGCTATGTTCATTCAGACCCTGCAGAAGGAGATCCAAGATGAGATCAGACATAAGAGAATTATTAAGGAAAATACTTGCAAGAGAAAATGAGGAGGGTACCCAAGAAGGCTGGGAGGAACATGGTTCTCTGATCCAGGTCTGACCTATGTGGAGGAAAGGGAGTAGGAAGGAAGGATGGGTAAATAATATGAGGGTGCTGTGTTGCTAAGAAATTTTCAGTGAAGCTGACCTAAGAAATTTTCAGTTACCCATCCTAGAGGATTCTGGGAATCCTGTCTCCCAGGAAATGACCTGTCTTAGTATCTTTGCTGCACTTCATCATCACTGATTGAGG